AAAGCAGGGCATGGGAGGGGTTTAAATCGAGTGTAGCAGGGATCCAAAATCTGCTCCTCCCTTGTGGGATGAGAGATGTGCTGATGGTATTTTGGCAGAACCGTCTTCATACTAGTGCTGCTAAAGTTCCCCAAGAAAACAAAAGCGGCATCTGGATGTGTGTTTTCATGTTCGTTAATAACCCTGTACAGTTTATCCAGGGCTTGTGATTTATCAGCCTGTGGAGGGATGTAAGCAACTGAGGCCGAGCTGAACTCTCTGTAGAAGGGTCTGACTTTCATGGTGAGCTACTCCAGGGCTGATGTACTGTGAATTGTTAAAACATGGATATCGCTGGCCCACACAAAGTTAACCATAAAGCATACACCTCGTCCCTTTGACTTGTCCAAGTCCTTGGTTCTATCGTGCACATAGAACACAGAACATGTACATCAGATGGCTCGTTGAACATTCTATTGTTGTGAACAGACTGGGAGCAGCTACAGCCTTTTTTTCCTATTCAGCAACCTACTGATGACTCCCAATGTGATGTCCTTGAAGCCTCAACAAACCTATTGGTGAAGTACTCATTCTTTGCAATTCTAAATAGTAGTGTTTCTTTGTATACTTTTTATAACTGTGTATGTTAATTTTCCCTAAGCAACACAGGATTTATTTTATGTACTTTTTTTTGTATGCATGTTGTTCGGGGAAAACCCCTGTTAAGAACAACATTAAAAGAAACTACAACTGACTGACACGCTATGTTGTGTTTTTCTCAATGTTACACCCAAATCCCAATGAGATATACTGGCTGTGCGTGATATCAGCTGTGCTGGCAGTTCTATCCTAAATGTTACGTCTGAATAACACAACATGAAATGCTTCACAAACATTTGCCGATGATGTCATGTGTGGTGGAGTGTAATGTGTTTCAGCTGTGCTGGGTCTACAGAGCTGTGCAGCTTTGCCTCCTGTCTCCCTCTTTCCCTGACATACAGCAAAGCCCATTCACAAGGCATTCACCAACTCATTAATCCATTCAGACACAGACATTCTGGCATTCCACAGTGCTGAGCGACAGCTGTCACTCAAGATACAGACTGGTGCTTTACAATCGCAAAAGCAGATTTGACACACAAACAAAAAAACTGATTAATGTTGATTATTTCTGTGACAGTGCTGTTGAAGACTCTTGCACTAACTATACTTTAACTTTTAAATGCAATCCCATTTTTTTGCATTTAAGCAACTGTACAAACTTTAGATATTTCAAAATGCTTGGTATTGTACATCCATCAGCTGAACATCATTCCAGTGATGGCGTGTACGAGTTATGAGTTGCTCTGCCTTTAAATCTATGAAGGCCGGTTCTGTCCTTTCAAACTCATGAGATAATTGATGATATAATTTTTAAAAAGTTATCCAGAAACAACTTAAGCATCGATGATCCCATTTGCAGATGTTTTTTTTTATATTTATTCATTCTCTTACACATGGACAAAATTGTTAGTACAATTCTGTTCAAGAAAGTTTGTTTTAAAAAATGTTTCTGTTAAACCACAATTCAAAAGCAATGTCTGATTTTAATCAGTTAATTTTCAGTACATTTTTATTTATTATTAATTTTGTGAGTTTCAAGTTGTTTCAGTGACCATTGTGGGTTTTTCTTTCTTTAACGGAAGGTACCAACAGTTTTGTCCACATGTGTAACCGTGTGTTAATATCTGTATTTATGTGACATAAGTGAATAATTATTTACTCATATTTATCAATCTAATCCTTTTTTAAAATTTATTCATTTTGATAGCACCTTTTGTACATACATTGCAATTCATGTCTGTGTCCAAGTGATCTGTTCTGTGGTATTGGACCATATGTTTGGTTTTTGTTGTTGTCTTTTTTTACTCTGTGCAGTCACTGGCTATTTCTACTAATACTAACCATTCAGAAATGTGAAATGTGTATTCAACAGAGTTCTACTCTTTAAAGACCAACCAAACAAAATCTGTTTAGAGGAGTGCACACAAAAAAGTTCCAAGTGTAAGTTAGTTTGTTGATTTAGTCTTCCTCTGCTCCTTTATTCCTTTAATGAATACAGCTGAAGAGGAAAGACAGTTCATGGTCACTATTTCCTTTCGACTACATGTTGTCAAGCATTTGTAGCTCCACTGTGGGCCAATAACAAGCCTATCACAGCAGACCGTGTTTATGAAATGCAAAGACAGAGACAGGCTGAGGCCTGCACTCCTTATTGAAGCACAGGAAGGGAAAGACACGAGATCGCATGACATACAAAAGCCATATAAAGCACCACAAATTTCTCTTTGTTAAAGCAGTCATATTGACAAATCATGAAATGAAAAAGAATCCTGGCTGTGGTTTTATGCTCTGCTGCATCTGGATGTGCTCTGAGGCATGTTTTAACTTTGCATGAAGGCAGTATTATAACATTTCCTTTCGGGATTTGAATTGAAAATATTGTTATTGCACTGTAGGGCCTCCTAGTTTCTTTGTTGTTTTTGTCAAATACGATACTGATTTTTACATCATAAAGAGACGTGTGAATGGTTCTCTGCACCGTAAAGATAAGAGCTGGACCTTGTACTAACTTTTTACTTGTGTTTACAATTCTACAGTCCCTCCCACTGCACAATATCGAAAACAAAAAGCGAACCATGCACTGGTTAAAATCTAGCTAACTTGAGGCTGAAATAAGGATGTTAAACCATCTAAAAATTCCAGTATGAAGGCGTGGACACTAAAGAGAATTCTCTTTCCACAAAGTACAATTTTCCAGATGTAACCATCTTCCTCACCCCCCTCCCCTTCCTGAGACAAAATGAAGCTGTTTTAAATCCGTAGATAAAAGCCTATCACACGGCACAATTTTGTGAGCATCCCATGCAATTAAAAACAAATACAATGACTCAACAACTATTTGTTCAACGTGTTTGTCAGGTGTTATGTAACCAGTAATTACTATGACAACACAACAAACTGTATCCAAACTCCTCCACCTCTGCTTTTGGCAAATTGTCTGAATGGACAGTCTGTCTGGTTTCACAGTCAAACAGCTCAGATTACATCTCAGTGCATTTAAAAGTTGTCTTTAAGGCAGGAAATAAAAGACCGAAAATAACCAAATCAAGCTGAGGAACTTTATCCTTCTGCTCCTATGACAGCCCAGGATTATGAAGAATAATGCCAGGAAGTCCACACACACCCTTTTCCAGTGTTTAAAGTTTTAGGCACAAACAGATAAAGTGAGGACGCTTTCAAAAATTATGCCTGAACAGGTAATATATTTAATTAACGTTAGTTTACACTTCACAAAGTGTAGTAAGTGGCTGCTGAATAAATGTGGGACCCATCAGGACCTGATGGTATGCATTGGCAGGATATTGAAATCTTCAAACTACAGTTCTACAGATGCTTTTATCTAAAGCGACGTACATCTGAGAGCAGATACAACACAAGCAAGGATCGAGTCAGGAGAAAACAACCTGGATAGGTGCCATAACTACCAAAAACTATTGCACAGGACTGTATATTGTCAGTTTAGTTTTCACTTGCGTACTTAGTCAAGACGGTTACTCTGTCTCTCTGTCTAGGTCATTTACCATCATAATGTTTGCACTTGTAATAGAAAGAAAACTCACTTATTCAACGCTGCCAGGTCCCATGCAGTGTTCCTGCTCAGCCCCTATCCTCAATGCATTGAGAATTCAAAATAGAAAGCGTGAAAACCAACCTTGTTTGCAGTTGGACGTGTCCTCTCACCATCATTTATAATGGGGGTGTATGAGGAAAATGCATTTTCCGCTGCAGGGATTTTTTGTTGTTGCAGTACCACCGCAAATGGCCACTGGGGAAGAATTAGCAGCAATGTTGAGTGATGGCACCTTGTCCAGCTCTATTAATACCTCCATGGTGCCACACTGACTCATCACATAGAGGATGCAAGTACAAGCCACTGCTAGTTTCAGTTGGCTTGGTCCTTCCTTCCTTCCGCTATCTGTATGTTACCACTTTCTTCACTACAGCAAACAACAACAATCTCCGAGCAGCAACCTACCACACTGAAAATTTCGATCATGCAGTAAGGCAGCCCTATTCTAATGACAGTGTTTGTCTCTCCGCATGCAAATGTTCCACTAAGGCACTCATCACTGAAAATAAAACTTGCATCCCTTCACTTAGCACCGGCCACAACAACTGTGATCAGTTAAAAAAAAAAAAAATGAAAAAAAATGAAGTGACAGTGTGGTGCAGCCACATCATTCAACAGAATGGACTAGCAAAGCGAGACTATCATGGTACGAGTGTTAGCAAGCCACATGTAGACAGAAACTCCACAGGGTAACTTCAAGCACAACACTTAATCCTGAAAGATGTTGAATATGGACACAGCTGATACACACTCTTCAGAGTTAAACAAATAAGTCTTGTATCAAGGTAGGGATTACATGTATAAATTATGACACTGATCTAATCAGCAGCATGCCACACACATTGACAGTGTGTCTACCTATACTGGCTCTCAGCTATCAACCGCTGCCACGTAGGAAAACCTCTTCAGAAGCCAAGAAACTAGGTCCAAAAACAGAAAAAAAAAATGTTACATAATTTTAATAAAATGATAGAAACTCTCCTTGTAGTCTATCAGTTGATTTAAAGCGCCTTTCGCTGCTGTACAAGAGGAAAAACAAAACACAGGGAAGCAACTCTTTCCCATAGCTTCATTTCATAAGTACAGGTCAAGATCCACATGCTTCAGACCTGTGACCTCACTGTGGCACATGTAGCTTCCCCACGCTCCCAACGTCTCCCACAGATGGAGTGCTGCTGACTGGAGGAAAATAGTGAAAAGAGGGGGGGAGTAAGGGTTTAGGTAGAGAAGGGGGGCTTGGAGCCGCTGTCTCATGCTCCCGTGATCTCTTTGCTGTCAAGGGGAGTGGAAATGGGCGTCGCTGAGGCTCACAGCTTAATTACTTCAAGCAACACTAAGTGTCTCACTTGTAGTGAAAGTAACACAGAGGGAGACTAAGTCTTTGTGCAGAAGACACACATTCTATCCGAGGAACAAGCATGCCCCCCCAGTTTAGAAATCATCACTTGACAAAAGTGGAGAAGTGCTCTGCTGCACACGAATGAAGTTCCAACAGGAAAGCTTTGACTGTTGCTGCTGCTTACTGGACACCGCACAGACATCATCACAGCCAGAACATTTTCCGGATGGTCTTTACAGAAGACTGAGTTCATTGATAAAATAATAGACAAAAAGAAGAAAATGTGGAATGACTGACTGGTGAGGATTTTTGTCAAGCCAGCCACAAAGCCAAGGGATATAAACAGACAGACAAGTGAAGGTAAGCCAAGCAATTTACTGACCTGACATCTTCATTTCGTATGATACACACTGACTTGTGAAGGTGTTCTGTGCCTACATGCCACATGATCATTGGCAGTTTTTAACCTTTACTTACAATTTTCCTTCCTTTGCCCTCTGCAAGTGGCAAGAAGGCTGTTTAAATGCACTTAATCCACTCTGACAGTAATGTATACGTTCTGTATTCAAAATCATTACTGATGATTACAAATTGAACTAGTCCACTTGATGTACACATAATTTCCTCTTTGATACTGATAGAAATGTAAACTTTTTTACTTGAAGTTAAAGTTTTGTGAGTTTGAACAAAGCTTTGCTACACAGCACGGTTCCATTCTAACTGACCAACCACTGAGTCATTGGGATTAAACTTACTCTTACTGTCCTCTCATCAGCAACATGGGCTTTAATTTCTTTAAACAAGAGAAGAAACTTCTCATTAACAAAAAAAGTCTGCTTTAAAAAATACACTGAAGTTCGAAAACATAAAGTTTTTTAATTTAATAGCTAATGGCTATAGAATATTTAGCATTTAAATTTGTTCCCCTCAAGTCTCACTTTCACTTTGCACTATAGGATTTGCAGCACAAACAAAATAGCTATCAGTGACTTCCCTTGGGAACGTGAAAACCTGAGCAAACCCAGCAAAAATAAAAAGAATGCCACTGTTGCAGGAGGCATAGAAGGCGGAAAAAAGAGTGACAGAAACTGAGGCTAAACAAGTGAAAGCAGAAAACGATAGTGGCCAATACCACTTGGAAACACTGGGATTTGGAGGGTTCAACAGTTGCTCACAATTGTTAAACTGTGGATCAGGGATCAGGTCAACTGGCAAATCATTTGACATTTTACACTCCACTGTAAAATCCCATCTTCATCTAAAGTGTCGAGTGCATTACTCAGGAATACACACTCAGTGTAGTTCATTCTGTTTTCTCAATAGCTCTCTAGTATTCCGGTAACTATCTGTCTTTGAAATTGGTCTGGTGTCAAAATTTCTAAATGACTTAAAAAAAAAACTAAAACATAGTCTAATGTTTTGATTTCCACCTTACCCCAAACCAGTCTAGGCAGACGACCACTCTGCCTGGTTCTGCTGGAATTTCTTTTTTGTCGTTCCAGGTAATCCGAGTTTTTGTTTTATTGTTTTTTGGGGGTTTTTTACCTTGAAGTTAACTGAACTAAATTAGAGGAGCGTACAGGTACAGGTACATAATGCTGAAAGTTTTCTGAATATCAGTTATGCAATGTTGTGCAAAATACACACACACACACACACACACACACACACACAGAGAGACAGACAGACAGAGAGAGTGATAGAGAGAGGAGAGAGAGAGAGTTGTATAGCTGTATCTATATAAAGAGAGGGTTTCGTGTTTTGGGGATATTTAGTGCAATAGGATTATAAATATTATAAAATATAAACACTTCTGCTAATGCAAAAACGCGCTGCACTTTAATCCACTAGATAGAGTAGGCTCCTTCCTGACAGTCTCAATCTCAATTTGCTGTGCCACAACCACAACACAGTCAGGAGCATGCTGATGATATAACTTCTGGTTTAAGCAACACATCAAAATCATCAAAAGCCTGAATAACGCTCTTAACTAACACAAGACGTATCAAGCAGCAGGTTAAGGCAGAGTCTGGAAAACTTGGCTCTTCCTCCACCCATCTGTGGTATAAAGAGCTCCACGTTCTGTTATTTTTTAGTGTGCAGACACTGACCCATGTTCACAGCACAGATGAGATGCAGCCGCCAGCGACTGCTCCTGCTGTATGTGAATGTGTGTGAGTAAGAATGATTGAGTGCCAGAATCAGACACAGTGACAAACAGAGAGAAAAGTGGGGGATGAGGAGGGATAACGTATGTGTGACAAATTGGTTTATCACTTTTGTTGCAGCTGAATAACTGATGTCTACCACAGGGGACTGCATTTGTTCTCCATGTGGTCGTATACATCTCTGCTGACACCTTTTATAAGTCTGTCTGACAGATGGTGGTCTGTGTCTGCTGCTTCAGCCTGGGAAGAGTTTATGATGTCAGTGCTGCCTTTCCCTGTGATCAGTGATCCAACATGCCGTGGCTATAGACTGGATTTACCATCATCTCTACAAAGACCAGTAGCTTCTGTGTGTACAGTGGCAAGCACAAATTTGTAAAAGGACTTTATTACTGGTCTGTAAAATGTCATCCAATCTCCATGTCAGTCACAAGGACAGACACACAATGCACTGAAGTTAATAACACACAAACGATTATAACCCCAGGTGTCTTTACTGGACATACCCAATAAATATTCTCCAGGCTGGTGGAAAAAGCAAGAGAATTCAGATTTTTAGAACTGTTCAATCATCTTTTGGCACCAACACACAGAAACATGTGTTTCTTGTAACTGTGAATCAGATCTGAACAATGTTCATGAGGTATTGTGGATCAGTCTTTCTCACAGAACTGCTTCAACTCAGACAGTTTCTTAGGTGTGTTGTCTGAAAGGCCCACTTCCACAGGGTGAAGATCTGAGCTCCAACTGAGCCTTCTTTGTTTTCTTTGTTTCTTTTGGGTTTGCTTAAATGTTCGCAGCAACTTTAGCGCTGCATCACTAACTTTGACTAAGCTTAAGCTAAACAGTCACCCTGACACTACTCTGGTAGATAGCGTGATGAACTTGAGAATTCTATCATAAGCGTGACTTGGTTTTTGTTTGTTTGCTTGTTTTTAATGAACCGTACGAAATGTTGCATTATGCCCAAAAGTTCAACCTTAGTCTCATCAGAACAAAAAGGTTTTGTTTTGTTTTGTTTTTTTAGCAGTGCTGTGGAGTGTTAAGCTGCTCTTTTAAAAAAAAAAAACTTCAGGGACACTGCGATTTTGTTTAGAGAGTAGAACTTCTTTTGTCGTGTCTCACCATTGACATCAGTCAATGCATTCACTGATCCAAGTTTGCCAAACTCATGATGAGAGATGCTAAAGAGCTCCAATAATTCCTTACCCCTACTCTGGGCTTAATTTTCTTTTACATCATTGAGCACTACACAACACCTAAGCAGTCATCTTAGCTGGACACCATTTCAAACAACTAAGTCATCTCCACAGATACTTCTTATAAACTCAAAACACTTGGTTGTTGACTGTAAGTCATACCTTCAATCAGGTATGAACAAAATAAAACCACAAGAACTGCACTGTTATTATTTAAAATAGATTGTGATTGTAACTCAGATGAAGATTTTCATATATATTTAGACATGAACACTGACGATTTCAAAAGATTCACTTGTTTTTTGTTGCCACTCTGTGCGTGCGTTTGTGTGTGTGTGTCTGTTTATGAGAGAGGTTTGCGAGGATTGCTGATTGTTGAGACGTCTAGCTGTGTGATGACCACTGATAAACACAAACAGATTTGCCAGTGAGTAATGGTTAACATATGTGTTTGAGAACAGCAAGACATTGGCTTCACTGACAAGTTCGCATGTGTGAGTATGAGCACACTGTTAGACAGAGAAAGCACCAAAAATGATTCCAGGGAAAAGCTGTAAAGTTGATTCTCAGTTAGACCGCAATGTCTGCCTATTCAGTTCGCTTAAAGCAGGGCTGGATCATTTTATGTCATGTTTCGCAGAGAGCAAGAAATTAGCGGTAGCGGCACATAAAACAGTGGTCTTCAAATCACTGCACTCAGTTAGTTTCAAAACAACATCTAATAAAAAAAATCATTCTGCTGGTATAGCAAATACACTAATAATCAAGACTTTTTATGGCGTGTTTTTGGTGTAGAGGTGCTTCAATGATTTTACTCGCAAAAAACATTTTACTCTTATAAAAAACGTATGGAGCTAAATACACAGTATGCCACATGCACTACAAGAGTGTAACTATAGTTATATAAGATATAACTGCAGTGTAAACAGTAAGACTGACTCCTGAAACTTAATCAGTAGAGGGTATAATGCTGCACTTTTAATGGGAGAACAGTGTTTGTTTTGTGTCCATCCTCCAAGCTACATTACTCCAATCCCCATCAAACTTGTCCTAAAACAGGTTCAGGGGCCAGCCTTTAGCTACCATGATTGTTACTCCTTTATTTTGAATTCTGAAACTTCTGGCACTCTGGACTACGTGTTCCACTGAAGAGGACGAAGAAGAGGATGAGGAGTTGCCTTGATGACTTGACTGTAGATTGCAGTGTTGTGTGGCTCATAACAACTGGACTGTGAATGGACTCGTGACAGCAGAGGGAAGTGACTAATTAGGAACTGGTTTCATTGTTGTGGTTCACTGGTGTATTTACGTCATGTATCTGCAGGGTTGTGCAGAGTAACGGATGCACATTTTAATAAACCAATTGTACAGCTTGTGCAACTAATGTAGCAGCATCAGGAAAGGGACATGCGTATTAATCAGCCCTACATGTAATTAAAAGAGAAACGACCAACACAAATGTACCTCTAATCGCATATAAATATACATTTCATACAAATGTACAAAAAGATCGAAAAATATTCTTTTCAGCATCTGACTGACTGCTGATATTAAATGTTCATTAAAATAGGACAAAATATAGTGATAAATAAATATCAGCATGTTCATCACAGTATAAAGTTGCAGAACAACTAGTCACGTGTATGAGAGTATTCTGCCTCACCTGGAAACAAGAGGCACAGCTCCCATTTTGGGGCATAACTGGAAACTATAAAGCTGTATATTCGTTAGATTATTTAGTTAGAGACCGATAGTTGCCAGATCGTGGACCAAGAGCAGAAACTATGTGGCGTGTGCCAGAAATACCTAAACACTTACAGCATTGCATTATAGGAAAATTGATGAAGTCCATCAACTGTGACTGAACTGACCAGTCTGAGGCAGGACTTAGTAGTTACTACATGATTCCATGTTCTGTCATCTCCAGGGACTTTCCCCCTTGCGTTTTGTGTTATTGAACATTCCATAGCTCTGATAGCATTTTTCATCCCACGAAACATTATGAAAGACCAGTGACCATCATGTGGTTTGAGCCAAGAGTGGAAAAAGTGAAAAAAATTGCTTGAGCAAACTTTTTTGGTCATAGATTTACACTGTACTTTGTGGTCTGTCTGTTTTTCTTTTCTTATCTATGGCAATTAATAAATGATAGCAATAGAGAGCAATTAAATTTGACAGTTATCGATGTAGTGTTCAATCTAGAAATCTGTAATTTTTTACCATAGTTACATGCAATTAAAGCCAAGTGGTGACTGAAGCTGTTCTGAAAGCTGAGGGTCAGGATATACTAGAAAACAACTTGCTGCTATGACGCATTGTCTGGCCATGGAAGAAGACAAACATGTTCATATGTGTCCTAAACGGTCATAATACGGGTGTAGTGAACAAAAGTGTAAATATAGGAATAATGTTGTCACCTTCATCACAACTTGAAAAGGTTGCAAATGTTGAATTGTTAGATTCGCAAAGCTACGTATAAACCCCAAATCTAATGCCAGAAATGTGTGAGGTTTACGAAGGCAGCACATGGTGGTGGTATGAAGTCTGTCTGATAAAAACACTATATGCAGGGCTTTCCTTTCATATAGCTGCAGATTTAGGCTACTTTTCACTCAGTCTGTGTATACTGCTATATTCTCAGTGCCAAAAAATAAATGAACCAAATATGGTGCTGCTATGGCATTCCATTAAGTTAAAGTGGCAAAAACTATTTGGAATGCTTTAGCAGCATTTTAGCACATTTATGTAAGAAGTACCTGAACCAAAGCGAAGCAGTATGAAGGAGGCCAAGGTGAATGTTAGGACATCTAGTGCTTGTGTCAGTGTCAGGATTAAAAAACGTCAGACTAAGATAGAAGTCCTGGTTTAGTACTGAAAAAAGCAGCCAGCTTGAAGCACAAGATGGAATCCATTCAAGCTGATCAAATCATGTTCTTTAAACTGAACTATGGTGTTTGTTTCCCAACAGCCCAGTGCCAGTATGTGGATCATAGGTTTGGAACCTCTGACCTAAACATAACTGTAAAATACGTGAATCATGTTTTAGTTGGCAGGAGCGGATATTGTAGGGAAACAAATAAGACACTAACTAACAGATGCAATGACTGTAAATATTTTTCAATTGCCAAATGTTGATAATTGGTCTATTCCAGCTGTGCTTCTGGTTTTCTTAAATTTACGAGCAAATGTAGTTTAGTACTTAGATGATTGCAGGCAGCTGCTTTTGGTAACAAAGCCCTAAAAACTGACTGTCCACTGCCTATTCAGCAGCAAACAGCAGAAAAACACAGTTAGAGACAAGGTGGACAACACAGATGGCAATCCAGCAACCTCATAAATATGCGTAGGCAAGTAATGCCAGGTCAGTGAAGTGAAATGACAATTGAGTGATTATCTCCTCACACTCTGTTTCAGGAATTGTGTTGGATTGGACGCAGGAGGACTGTGCTATGATTCTCACCATGGTGGTTTTGTTGGGTCTCCTGTTGCTCTGTGGACCAGAGTCAACTCTCCAGGGAGACACTCAGGAATTTGGGAACAGTGATGACATACTGGAGACAGAGTTTTTCTACGCGCCAAGACGACAAAAACGTGCCGTTGTCGACTACAGCGCCTCCCAAACAGACAAATGTTCTTACACCTTTGTTGTCCCTCAGCAGAAAAACAAAGGAGCCATCTGTGTGAACTCCAAGGAGCCCGAAGCCTTGCTGCAGAACCGGGTCAATAAGCAGGAGCTGGAGCTCCTCAACAGTGAGTTGCAGAAGCAGCGACTGCAGATTGAGGTGCTGCAGCAGCTGGTAGAGGTCGATGGAGGTGTGATCAATGAAGTTAAGCTACTGCGCAAAGAGAGTCGTAACATGAACTCCCGAGTTACACAGCTCTACATGCAGCTGCTGCATGAGATTATTCGCAAACGAGACAATGCTTTGGAGGTGTCACACCTGGAGACCCATGTGCTCAACCACACAAACGAGATGGCACGGCTGGCTTTACGATACCGTGACCTAGAACATAAGTACCAACATCTGTCAGCCATTGCAAGCAACCAGAGTGCTCTCCTGGTGCAGCTAGAGGAGCACTGTAAGCAAGGGTGCCTTTCGCATAGTGTGCAGGAGCGCAGGCGCCCAAGCCGGCCACATCCCCCTGCTATCCCCCCGCCTCCTCTACAGATGCCTGCATTGTCTCCTGGAGGCTACAGACCCTACCATCCACCCACCTACACCCGCCACACCAACAATCCCATGATTAATGACATACAGAGTGACCAGAATGCCAAAGCATTACCACCTCCACTGCCCACAATGCCAGCTGCAACATACAGTTTCACAAATGAGCCTTCTGGTAAGTAGCTACCCACACTGTCACTTATGTATCTTCCTCTGAGTGACTTAAACACACTTTCCTTCAAACAGCCAGAGGGTGATTCATCTTGCTGCAAAAAGAAGTTTGATTGAATGACATTTGATGAGAAAATGGTTCTTCTTTTCCCTTGTTCTGTTATTTAAACATTTTCCTCATGAGTTTATGGTCTCCTCGCTTGTTTCAACACTAAGTACAGCATGATGCTCGTTATGGGGTTCAGTAGTTAGCACCGATGCCTCAAAGCTAGAAGATCCCTGGTTCCGTGTGGAGTTTGCATGTTCTCTCTGTGCAGCATGGGTTCTTTACAGGTTCTCCGGCTTTCTCCCACAGCCCAAAAACATACTGAGGTTAATTGTTGTGCTGAGGCATCCATAATTGTCATCTCTCCAATGCCTTTGCACTCACGCAGTCTCATATTATCACATTCCCACCTCCACGCTTCACTGTCAGGACTATGCATTCACTGTGGTGGTGGCCAGGTTCATAGCAAATATTCTTGATGCTATCTGAGCTCAACACATTAGCCACGATCTAATCTGATCAAATAATGTGCTCCCAATATTGTTCAGGTTTCTTTTTTTTACCCTTGGTCCTTTTTTGTTAGCAAAATTTCATTCTGTAGTTTTGTGCCAGAAAGCAAACAAGGGTTTGCTGTTTTGGACGTTGTCCATAAAGGTTCACATTATGCAACGCTTCTCATACTGTCTGAGCTGTTACTGAAGCTCAGTTTTCTGTTGGTAACTCCTGTGTCAAATCTAAAGTACTTGCACTCCAGTTTTCTACAGCTAGAATGTGTAAGTCGCACACTGTCCTTGGCTATTTCAGGGGGACGTCACTACAGCTCTGATTAGTGCATCTATAGCCGTTTTTTGTTTTTTTTCTTTTTAGTTGATCAACAATCTTCCTGCAAACTTTTCCATGTTTGTGAAGTCTCATCAGATTTTTGATTCCTCTGGAAATTCCTTTCCATGTACAGCCATGATGCAGACATACAGACAGACACAGCCAAAAGGTCCACAACTAACAAGTTCTGTTGTTCAGAGTTAATTTTATAACCAAATTCATGCTAATTGGAAATCACAGGTTACACCGTTTTGTTTCAGTGATCATGGGTTCTCTAAATTGGGTGTCAGCAATCACAGGTGTATTTACTTTTGTTGCAATGAGTGTCTACTTTGGACCTATATTTTCTGTTCATAAAAGGACTGTTTACTGTTCAATTTAAAAAAAAAATTGCAAATTTTGAAAGGTGATAATCTATTGAATAATTATACACTGAAGTGACATTGTACAGGGGTGTATACCACATCTTCTGTGTCTGCATAGTGAAATTTTGCCTCCAGTAATATTTAAGTGTTGTGCAGCAAAGGCACTGGAAGGAATTTGTCATGGTCAGCTGTGACTTCACTTTTCCAGAAGCCCTCTGCCCGTGTGGTTTTATATTTCATTTAATGGTACTTTGTCTGTTACTTGCACAGAGTGTCACCATTTTAATAATGATGAAGACAGCATGTCACTGAAAGTAAAGCTAAGTCATAAAAGACTTTTCTAGATCAACATACACAACACATTTTGTTAGTATTCACCCCTCTTCTCTGTAGGGCCTTTCAAAGACTGTCTCGAGGCTCTGGACAACGGATACACCACCAGCGGCATGTATCTCCTAAAACCAGAAAACGGCAACCAACTCATGCAGGTTTGGTGTGACCAGAGACAGGACCCTGGTGGCTGGACTGTCATTCAGAGACGTCAGGATGGCTCTGTCAACTTTTTTAGGAACTGGGAGACATACAAGGTAATAAGGAGAACCTGGGATTAGATTTATAAGCGTTCTATATGAATTCTAGAATATTCACAGATACTAAGCTACAAAAAATGTTGACTTTCATGACAATAAATAAAGATGGGGTGGTACTATATAGGAATTACAGGCTCAGAATCTCTAAAGCAGGACTAAGAATTTAGAGCTATGCCTTTCTGACTCACGATGAAGGCAGTGGATATAAGCCTGTCAAATGCAGCAGAATAAAAATGAAGTGCAGCCAGACCATTCTTTATTGTAAAATGGACTGTAATTCTGAACAGTGCTGCTTTGACTCAAATGCTTCCATCAGCATGCTAACATGCTTACAATGACAGTGCTAACTTGCTGATGTTAAGAAGATCTAATGTTTAATTTATTTCCAATCTTAGTTAATCTTTAGTTTGGTACGTTAATATACGGTTGTAAACCAAAGAATTTAAAAAAAAAAAAAACATTTTACATATTCCTATTTTATGGTAGTTAAATAGAGGCGAAAAAATAAGCAAGAGTTGTTTTTTGTTTTTTGTTTTTAAGATTAGAAATAATAACCCAACAAAACCCAACAAAATAAATGTGAATAATAAAGTGTTAGGAAATCTAAAAGATAAAAACATAAAGCGATGAATACAGAATTACTCAAAATGATGATCACATTAAAACACATAGCATAGTTAAAGAACTGAATATCGCTTGATCTAAATAATATGGGTAGGGTATAGCACGTAGTAGGACAGTAGGGCTATCTTTTTGATAACAAATTCCTTGTCACAGCATTGTAAATTAACTATAATTAGTTTGTATAATTCTTATTAAGTGAGCCAATTTAGGGACAGCTACATTATTTTAAAAAGGCTAGTAATAAAGAGATTTATTAAACTTATTTTGAAGATCTTAACAAGGCAGTAATTGCCTGGGTTTGCATGTCAAGAATTTAAGTTTTATAGCAGCAGTTAAAATTAAAAATAAAATTTAGAGTGAAGTCTAAAATCACTTTAAGACAAGAAATCAAAGGTGCAATTGTCATGAGCATAACAGAGCTAACTGACACCATGATGTCTAATATTACCAAGCGTGAACATGCACTATTCATATAGCTGACGAAAGCATAGTAGCTACTGCTGCCTTGGAGTCCACTTCATTTCCAGACGACCACAGTGATACGAGCTACAGCAAAAATGTAGAAATCTTTGTCATTTCAATAAAGCATTGAGTAACTACAGTTCCCACAACGTTTTTGAAATGAAGGTAGGCCATTTGAGCTAGTTTACTACTTAATGTCCTGTGTTGGTTGTTGTACAACTTCCTTTGTGGAAAGCACACACAAACATTTACTGGTATGTCAATTCAAAACACCCATGTCAGTGGTCAATATCACGTGATTGGCTAAAGGGGGGAAAGTCAGGGGTTTTACAAAACAGACACAATCCTAAACCATAAAATTATGAATTACACTTGCTAGAAAGTATAATTCTTACAAAAAGGAATTTAAAAACTGCCACTGCGACAACAAAACGGAAATTTTACAGTGAACTGAATAAACAGTCATTCATGTCCTCCACAGCTAAGATCTGCCTTTACCAAAACAAACCGTTTGGCCAACCCATTTCATTGTGTAATGTGTGATTTAGTCTAAGAAGAACTTAACAAACTCAAACCAAATCTATGAGATCACAACAGCAGGGATTAAATCAGTTCCAACTCACTACACATGCTCTTAGCCTTGCTGCCAATGCAGTGAACCACGGATGTCATACCTATGCTGTGTTGTCCAGTTACTACTGGTGGAACTCAACATTATGTAAATGTGGATGCAGGAAGTGAAAGCCCTAGTTGCCAAACATTAACATCCTAGAGACTGAAGTGATTACGTTTCAGTCTGGGTTCTCTACTTTGTAATTCACACTCAAGACTAAAGCAGAGTACAGAGTACTGCCAAGCCAATCATTCCCTCACCCACCCTCAATGAGTCAACAAGGCACTTTCAGTCCATTACACACACATCTGGCAGGGATGGCGACTTCCTGCTTACTAAATCCATGTGTCACATAATTAAAACCAGGGATTCACACACACAATTAGGTCTGGTCGAGAAGATCTTAAACACGTCCTGCGTGTTTAACTGCTCTTGGCCTCTAGCTTTCACACTAGTGTTTCACTGATGATTGGAAAACTTGTGTGGTTTGTTGCTGGAGGCCCACAGCTTCACCTCTCCAAGGAAAGACAAAAGTGGGTTTTCTTGTAATTTGCTAAATAAGATCATCACAGGGGCCTTTTCTGTTAAATCACATGCTAGGAATAGTAAGAACAAACAATTCCTCACCAATCCAACATCTGTCTCCTTTCACAGCAAGGGTTTGGAAACATTGATGGTGAATACTGGCTGGGCCTGGAGAACATCTATTGGTTGACCAAGCAGGGAACCTACAAACTGCTCGTGACCCTCGAGGACTGGACTGGACGCAAGACTTTTGCAGAGTACACAAGCTTCCGTGTAGAGTCTGAGGCTGATTTCTACAGGCTACGTGTTGGACGATACCATGGCAATGCTGGAGACTCTCTGACCTGGCACAATGGCAAGCAGTTTACCACGCTGGATAGAGACCATGATGTCTATACAGGTGAGTGGAATGACATGAATGAGAAGGCAATCTAACGTTAGGCAGGTTTTTGTTTACTTTTTATTTAGCACCAGTCAAAAGTTTGGAAATATCTTCTCATTCAATGGTTGTTATTAATTTTCTTTCCAAAATTCATATTAGTTTAAAATGTAATCACAAGCAATGGCACTTGTATATTGTATTTTCTTGGAGACTTTTGAAGTTAAAAATAAAGTAAAAAAAATCTGCTTCATCTGATTGCGTTACCAGTATATTAACATACAGATGCACATGGATAATATGTGCGCTATGAGTTAGGTAAACACAGCTGGCTAGCTCAAGTCAGCAAATCTGCAAAAGTCCCAATATTATACATCTTGAACTACCAAATGTGATTAAAACTGCCATATTCGATATCTCTGTGCAACACAATCCCTGTATTGTTATTCAAGTGCATGCCCAAAAAACTTTGTTTTGTAGCAGAGGAGGCAAGGGTTTCCTGCCTTTACTAATACCACGGGGTGATACAGCAGTTGATTCACACAAACATGCAGACAGTATTTGCCGTAGACTGCTCACTTACATCCAGAGAAGAAGCAGCCTCACATTGAGCATGCTCAGAGCTATATTGCAAATACATATTAAAATGCAGGGGTTTGATGAAAGCAGCAAGGTAGTAAACTACTGGACTCACTGATTAATGACTAGCTCTGACTGCAACCCCTGATCTAGCAATTGTTTATGTACCAGCTGGTCTGATTTGATTCCTTGTGTCTTCAGGTAACTGTGCCCATTACCAGAAGGGAGGATGGTGGTATAATGCTTGTGCTCATTCCAACCTGAATGGTGTGTGGTACCGTGGTGGGCATTACCGCAGCCGCTATCAAGACGGGGTCTACTGGGCTGAATTCAGAGGAGGAGCTTATTCTCTGAAGAAAGTGACCATGATGATACGACCCAATCCTAACACTTTCCATTAACAGCTCAGTCTTTCAAAAGTGAACAGAGTTTATTGGACATTTCCTGTAAAGTTAATGCATTTCTATACCACAAAAACAGGCATCCTTGATTTGAACTTCCATTTTTTGTTGGTTGCTTTGCACCCATAATGCAGACGCAAATTGCAAATGCTCATGTAGTGACCATGCACAAGATTTCAATTTTTCTACAAAGCCGCACTGCACACATAACAGCAAAAGCACACACACATAAATTAAGTGAATGGCATTTCATGTCTGTATGACCTGCTCTGAGCAGACTTGTTTTGTTTCATTGCTTTTGTTGGTGTGCCCAGCGAACAATTCAGCAAAGATATTTTGAAACTTACAATGGAATTTCTTAAAATGCAGTATTATTACACTCATATATTAATGCAAAAGAGCAAAATTGAGTAAGAAAGAAATTTATATCCAGAGACAAAAACTGTTGGTAACAGACTGATACTTCTGGTGGTGATCAGTGCTTGTTCCATATGCAGTATATTATGTATAAATAATATATACTGGAATTCATTCTACAGGAGAGAAATCTGGTTATTTATTTTGCTGATGTGACTCATTTGCCAGACTAATTTCCTGTCTTTTACATCTGAAATGTATGTATGAATTTGATCAGCCAGGTAAAATGATGGGTCTTCTGATGATTTACAATATAAACAAAGTACAACGTTCAACATCCCAAACAAAGGTCAAAAGGTCAGGATTGTGGACTATACCATTTAATGTGTGACTGAATATAATGTGCGTGATTCTTCCAGTGAATTGCAATGATTCTACAATACTTGACGAGTCTTTATAGTGAAAAATGAAGTTGCATGAAAAACAGTCTTTGCTGCTGACCCTTTGACATCATCTTAATCAACTATTAATGGTACCATCAACACTTCTATAAAATGACTGTGCAATTGCAGTTGTGACGAATGATGCAAATATTTTGGTACTGAAGCTTCTGATATTCTGGTATCCATGACTGAAGACCTTTTCTAGCTAGAAGAGATTCTCCTTTTTTGGTTGTTCTTGTTTGGATAACTCTGGTTTGTAACCTGGTGCGTGTTTTACAAGACAAGTTCAACACACTCAGGATATGGTTTTATTGCCAGGCTTTCCTAAGCTTAACAACCACAATCATGCTAAGCAGTAACACAAAGCTGGTTATTAACTCGCTAAACCAGGGTTTCTGAATCTAGCTATAAGGGCGGTCACATAAAAGGCATCGGTGTTGGCATGAGGTGGCCTCTTACAAACACAGATGGGTCTCAAGCTGCATATTTCCCACAGGAAGGACAAAAAAAAACAAAACAAACTTAAACCAATCCAGGCAAACTATTTTCTTTCGCTTCCAGGCTTGATAATACGACAAAACTTAACTATTCTTTAAGGGTACCACCTCAAAGGTAATGAGACCCACTGCCACATCTGTTTAACATGCCAATCGTGAGTTAGATAAAAGCCTTCTATCGTGGACAGAAATAACAAAACAGAATACTAATGGATAAAGGGGAAAAAAACAAAAAACATAACACATACAACATACAACGCACAGATAGAATCTCACTAAAGAGCTACAACACATTTAAACAAAAATCAAACTGAGTACGACTTACTATTCCCTCTACCTAACAAAGGTTTCCTGGTCTGAAAAATCAGATACTGTATGAGAGTGCAGATACAGTATGTAACAGAGGCGCTCTGTGTATGTATATATTCTGTTTCATTACGGTTATTTTTATAGTCTGTATGTTATTGATCTTACAATAAAGTATGTACAGTCTACTTGTGTTTCCAGGGGTCTCCTTTGACAGATACCAAGCACTCTAACCAGTTACACAAAGAAACATGTCTACATTAGATATCTGCATTGTCACTTGCATTTTCTTAAAAAATGCCAGCTAACATTTATATCAAGATAAATGGTTGGTTTCTTTTGTGTCTATTTGTGTGCGTTCTCCCAGCTCCCACTCTGCCCCCTTCCCGCATCTCTATCTGTAACCACGGTAACAATATGGAATGAAAACGGCAAGAGTTATCCAATTAGAATACATAAAAAATTCAAAATGCATGACAAAAAACTATCCTGACAATAAAAAATAGTTTCATGCATGAATTATTTAAAAACTGGGTGACACTGTTTTCCATTTTTTTCCATTTCTAACAAGCAAGACTTGAAACATGCCCAACTGTTGTTATTATTTAATTCTATCATTTTGAATAAGATAGCACATCAAATGCGTAAAATGAACATTAGGATAAAATACTACAGGTGAGCAGTGTCCAAATCTGAACAAACAAACATCACTGTGAAACTTCCACAGTTGATTACCTACATTTAGACATTTGTGTGTGTGTGTGTGTGTGCGTGCATGCGTGCGTGTGTGTGTGTAACAGGGTCTCTGAAATGTTATATAAAAAAATAAATAAAAACTACCAAAGTCATACTGACTAAACTGGATCAAGGTACCCCTACACTGCAGTTAATCAGAGAATATTTTGGGAGCAGCATGTTTCAACAGATACTCCACAGGTGACAGGAACATTTCTATCACCATCCACCATTTTGGATTTAAGCTTAAGGCCTAAGGCAGCTCATCATCAAGCTCTGCAGAAGCCTGATAACGATCCTGATCATTTGAATCAGGTGTGTTGGAAGAGGGAAACATCTAAAACATGTAGGATTGCGGCCCTTGAGGACCGGAGTTCGACACCCCTGGCCTAAGGGATTGTTTCCTGTTGGTTTGCAATCAACAGTGCTTACTAAAGTTTAATACCACTTTATACTCTAATCTCCAGAACAACATCTTTATAAAAGTGCTTAAGAGAGTTAAAACTGGAAGGTTGTGTGGAAATGTTTATATCTTTACAAACATGCTTCATCTGGACTTGGATATGGTGTCTACGTGATGGTTTCAGTGTGTTGTTGAATGGATTTAAAGCATATAATTAAAAGCACTGTACAAAAGCATGGCTGGTTTTCAGTCAGAAAAACCAGCTTTAGCCCTTTAAAAGAAATTTGAAAGCTGGCGGTGTTGGAATAATCATGAGACGTAGATGGAGGACTTACCAAGGTAAGGAATACAGGGCACCATCTTCAGGGAACGGATGTATTCTCTCATGCGGGTGTAGTTCTCTTCCTTGGATGTCAGATAGTTTAGCTTCTCAAATGTAGCCCTGTCTTTTCGACTGACTAACTGCAAGAAGAAAATAAACAATAACACGGTTGATTTCTTCTTTTAGCTGTGGGGGAACTTGACAAAGAAAACTATTACACCACTAGAATCTCACCTGAACCAAATTACAACGTATTCTGAAACCCCTTACTGCTATTTTAAAATCAACAGCTGGAGCTAGAGGATTATTTATGAGTGGAAATACCCAGCAATACTTTTCTATGATTTTTCTCTTTTTACATCTGCGGAACACTGCAGCAGCCAGCTAATTAGGTACTGCTCATTATACTGAGTTAGAGGAGGCTTGCACTCTTTCATCCTGAGTGATTCAGACAAATTTGGCAAAGTCTAGATTTATTTCCTGCCAAATTGTGACCTAATAATTTTGCTCAGGCACAAAGCTGGTGAAGTTTTCTGAGTGGTAATGCTTTACATCAACTGTACCAAAACCACAAGAAGAAAGAAAGAAATGAAAGAAAAAAAGAGAAAAGAAAAGCTGCAGGTACTAAAATAAAAGTGATGACATAACTCCATTTTGATCAATAGAAAAATTGGTATGCTTCAGCAGACCTCTGAGAATTATACAAATTTATGACGTTGTTGAAAACATATTGAAGCTCACGTTCACACTTACGGACAACTTTAATAAAAAAAAACTTCTTTCTCTCATTATGCTGGCGTTTAGCAAATAGAAAAACTTTGGTAATCCTAACTGACTTAAAACAGGAAAAGTTTAGTCTGACTTAATGTCAGATATGAGAAAAAAAGTTAGGTCTTTTCATACAGTGTAGGCAAACTTCTGGTTTCAACTGTATATGCCGCATTAGACAGCAGCAGGATCAATACGAACATCTCAGAAAAAAGACAGCTGTGCACATTTACGCACGGAGCAACTGCAGTAACTACAGTAATTAGTTCTAATTGTAAGCTATGCCTCACATGGAGAAAGGATCGATCAAGATCTAACAGCAGGTCACACTGTGTACTTTTCTTGACCTCAGACAGACATTCTCAGGTGAAGCAATTGCCAAACATTTCCTGCGTCTAGCCTTTTCAATGTGAGGATTCACTGTTTTTCTTTTTTTCCCATGCAAACCTTAAGTTAAGTGACATAGAGATATTTTGGGCATTGAAAAGCTATGATTTAATTTTAATTTCTGATATGTTGTAGATGAAACAATATGTCACGTAGCAATAGGTGGAATACTTCAATGAATATCAGATCAATGATCGAAGTTAATCAAGTTAGCAGCTGGTGAATAATACAGTGTAACATACTTAAAAACAACATATATGAGTCTCCAGTTGACTGCCTGTAGGTAGAAAAACCTGAAAATACAGTCTTTTTCCTCTCACTAGATCTTTAATGTAATAAGTATTTTTAAATTCTTTCTTACTGTTTTTTTTTAAATTGCCATTTTATGTAATTTGTGTATCTTGGCTTTGGTGCATCCAGTTCTCAATGTCTTATAACCAGCACTGTAAAATCAGAATTCATGTTCAAATAATAAAACCACAACCAAACAGCTCATCCTTTATGCCCTGGAAGAGACACGGCATATCAGAACTAATCATTTAAACACACTGGAAAAAAGACTCTGGCCAGCCACACATTAGCAGTCATAAACACACATAAAGAGACCTGTTTGTGGTGGAGAAAAGTCATTTTGAGTAGACAGCCAAGCACCACATGCTATTGCTATTATCTCAGGACGGATATTCATCCAGATCTATAAAGAAACATCCACTAAGAGCTGATCCACCTAAAAACACCAAACAAGTTTTCTGATTCTTTCTTCCTTTGCAGAGTAAAGACATATATATATATATATAGAGAGAGAGACATTTACTTACTCCTAATATGATCTATCCTTTGTCATTTTAACCAACAAAAGCAGTGCTAACAACTGTGAATATATAATATGTCTACAATACTGTATATATATTTCTTTTTTTAAAAAAACAGCTGAAACACAAACTGTGTCTACACAGGCATGAGTGTCCCAGTTCTGATCAGGCTTCTGAATTAGTCTGTTTTTGTGTCTGTGCATGTCAACGTCAAATCATTAATTCAAAAACGTGGAATGTCAAATGGTCTGCTGAAGCCTACGAAGGTGAACATTGCTGTCTCTTTATCATTTCACTAGAACTTTTTTTTCTTTTGCTATAAAAATGTACATACGGTTAGTACTTTATGGTTTGCTAATGTCATCTGAATGGTCTTCTACTTGAAAAAGTGTATTAAAGTGATATCTTACTGCCCAGGTTTTGCTAAGTCTGAAGATGGGAGCACTTTGCAGAGCGGACACCACTGACACCAGAGAATGAAGGTTGTTCAGCTCCAACAGTTTCTGGAAACAAACAGATTTTTTTATGAACATCAACACAGTACAGTAAAACTTCAGGTCGAAAATACTTCACAGTCTATTAGACTATAAGACATCACCTCAATGAAAACAAAAAAAGAAATATATAGAAACAATGAGGAGCTGAGACACCGAGCATGAATTCTGACACATCTAGACTGACTCTAGCCTTTGGACTTTTGTTGCATTACTTTCTCCTTCATGTCTTGTTTTCTCTCAGTAATTCATTAAAGGCATAAAATGCCCACAACAATACTAATCTAAACAAAACACCCAGGATGAACAAGTTTTGCAGCAAGTGAGCTAGCCATGAAAAGAAAATGCAGACACTTTACAATAATTACTGCTTGTTCACTATCTACTGTATCAAAAGAGTTAATCTGAAACTATTTTATTAATCATTTCAGTCATTTTAAATACAACATGCAAACTCCACACAGAAAGTGCTAACCCCCGCTACACTATGCCGCCTCATGGTGACAGGTTGGAAATAACACAGATTATCAAAATAAGTAAACTATTTAGAGATCATGCCTGAAAGGGAGTTCACCTGAAATGCTGTTCATAATCCCTCACCACACAGTAAAATTGTGTGACAGCTGCTTACAGTCATCATCTACTATTAGGTGTCTTTGGAACAGAATTTGTTCATATATATATACATAATTCAAGAATATACATGATTGACTATCTAAATGATCTTTTATTGATTTCCTTACTGTACACATTAGAATCTCCAGTACACAGTATGTTTGCTTTCCGTTACTCTTTGGAAACCCTCTGTAATAGGCCCTAGTCCATAACTGCTAAGTGACTCTCTAAGAGGTGATATGTTCTGGGTTTGCACACAGTTACAGTCAGACATATAAAGTGCGCTTCATTTTCAGTGGTCAATATCTGAAATTCGCCAAGAACATTATGTCATGTTCCCACTTTCCTTTCCACCTCACACTCTGACCTCAGGGGCCACTCCTCCTGCTGCTGTTTCCCCATTGGACCACAACAGAAAAACACCAGTTTATTTCTGCCATAACTGTGTCTGCTGTCTCCATCGATACTCACTAACATACCTGGATAGCTCCTCAATGCTACACACTATAATGGAGTCCTATTGAAACAGTTTTACGAGGCAGTTGGCAGTGTCCCATTAAATAAAAATCTCCACAAAAACACTAACTGCAGAAGAGCTGCTGCTTCCATTTGTGAACATATATCTGTCACATGATACGCTGAACAAAAATATAAACGCAACATTTTTGTCGTTGCTCCCATTTTTCATGAGCTGAACTCAAAGATCTGAGACTTTTTCTATGTACACAAAAGGCCTGTTTCTCTTAAATACTGTTCACAAATTAGTCTAAATCTGTGTTAGTGAGCACTTCCCCTTTGCTGAGATAATACATCCGCCTCACAGGTGTGGCATATCACGATGCTGATTAGAAAGCATGATTATTGCTTGAGTTATATGTGCCTTATGCTGGCCACAATAAAAGGCCACAGTAAAACGTGAAGTTTTGAGGGAGCGTGCAACTACACTATACGACTATAAAGCTTACCAAACACCACCACCAAACTGCATCACAACGGTTGAGATTAACAGCATGTTTTTGTCTTTTGAAAACGTATTTGTGTTTCAGTTTTTAGAAAAGTATCACA